ACAAACTCATAGATATACAGACCATTCTGAAGGCTGCCAGATGGGAGGGTGGTTGAGGGGGGTCAGTGAAAAAACGAGCATGGGTTAAGGAGTACAAATTGGTTGTTACAAAATAGTCATGGGGATGTAGGGTATAGCATAATGAGTATAGTCAGTAATATTGTAATAACTATGTATGGTGTCAGATGGGTCCTAGATTTATTGGAGTGATAGATGGTAGGGTGTTGCGGGGCAGGGTGAAAAAGCTGAAGGCATTAAGAAATACAAATTGGTAGTTACAAAATAGTCATGGGGATGTAAAGTAAAACACAGGGAAGTTAGTCAGTAATATGTTAATAACTATGTATAGTGCCAGGTGGGTACTAGACTAGTTAGGAGCATGTACAGCACGGGGAATATAGTCAATATTGTGATAACATGATACAGTGTCAGATGGTTGCTGGTCTTATGGTGATCACTTCTTTAGGTATATAAATGCTGAATAGCTGAATAACTATGATGTATACCTGAAACTAATATAATATTGTATGTTAGCTATATTTTAATAAAATCTTTTTAATTAAAATTTATTGGGGGTAACAATGGTTAGTAAAATTACATGGGTTTCAAGTGTACAATTCTGTAACACATCATCTATATATCACATTGTGTGTTCGCCACCCAGAGTCAGTTCTCCTTCCATCACCATATACTTGATCCCCTTTACCCTCATCTACCACCCACCTCCCCGCTTACCCTCTGGTAACCACTTAACTGTTGTCTGTGTCTATGAGTTTTGTCTCTTTGTTTGTCTTGTTCCTGTGTTGCTTTCAGTTTTATATCCCACATATCAGTGAAATCATATGATTCTTTTAAAAAATAATTAGTTGTAGCTTACAACAGGACTAACCCACTACCTGTTTTTGTAAATAAAGTTTTTTGGAACACAGAAAGAGAGAGAGAGAGAGAGAGAGAGAGAAGGAAGGGAAAGAAGGAAGGGGAGGGAGGGAGGGAGGGAGAGAGAGAGAGAGTGATGAAAGAAAGAAAAGAAAGAAGGAAGGAAGGAAGGAAGGAAGGAAGGAAGGAAGGAAGGAAGGAAGGAAGGAAAAGGAATTCCAGAGACAGGTAAAGAGAACTGAGTTCTGTGAACAACCTCTGCCAAATCTCTGGCTGATCTCTGAACAACGTATGTGTAGGGCAGATCCAAGCGGGCCTACTAAGGTGAAAAAACATAACTGAAATTTGAGCTGCTGCCCAAAAGGCAAAGTATACAGTTTGAGCAGAACTCAACATATCTGAAACCTGAACTCTGTTTTGACCCTAAATCTGCCTTGTCCATAACCTACCCATCTCAGTCAAATGCAAATTCCTAATTCCAGGTACTTCAGTCCAACTGCCCTGGAGTTAGTTTGACTCCTATCTTTCTTTCACACTCTCCATCTAATTTATCTGGAAATCCTACTGTCTCTATTTTTAAAAATATATCTGCCCAGTTCACACCACTTGCACTGCTACCACCCTGATCTGAAGCACTATCACCTCTCATCCAGGTTACTACAACAGCTTCACAAGCCTCTCTGCTTCCATCCATATACTCTATAGCCTATTCAAAATGCCATTATCTGGGACATTAAGAAAGTTCTTTAATATTCCTTGAAGGTCTACTATGTACCAGCCAGAATGATCCTTTTACTTATGTTGGATAATGTCACAGCTCTTTCCAGGAGCCTGTAATACCTCCTTTCACTTAGGTTTAAATCCAAGTTCTTACAATGTCCTCAACAGGCCCATTACCTCTCTGATTTTATCTCCAACTATTCTCCCTTCAGCATCCCAGTCACACTGGTTCCTCATTGCTGCACAAACACTAAGGCATTCTCTTGCCTTTGCATTGGCTGGTCTCTAGGCCTGGAAGTTCTTACTCGAGGACTTTGTTGTCTCTCTCAGCTCCAAGTCTTTATAAACTTCTAACCTCCATGAGGGACCCACACAGTTGTGAATATGCTCTCTTCCCTGCTCTCCATGCAGCACTATTAATTATTCTGGTCTAGTTTTTCTTTTTTCCTTTGTAGGTCTCACCTTCTATCGTACTATGTGATTTGCGTATTTCTAGTGTTTACTGTTTGTTTCCCTGCACTTTTAAAAATATAAACTCCACGAGGCCAGAGATCATTGTTTGTTTCACTGATGTATCCCCAATCACCTAGAACAATGCTTGCCAAATAGATGTACAATAAATATTTAACGAATGATTTTCATTCTCATAATAATGAGCATGGGAGGCAGGTTTTATACTATCATCCGTCTATCATTCCAGGTGAAGTTGTAAAATTTGGGTGCAGGGGGGAGCAGAGAAGACTAAGTTTTTATCCAAGATCATCATGCCATTATCAAGTTGCAGTAATGGAACTCAAACTAATATCCTTGAATTCTCCAAATAGTAGAGCAGTAAATAATTTAACAAACCATTTAAAAAATTAAACCTCACTATACAGTTAAGCAAAAATTCTTTTAATATTAAATATTAATATTTATTGTTCACTATATCCTTGTAAAAGTCTTCAGTGGTTTGACTTTTAATTTTAAAATATTCAGTGTTGGGCAAGTTGACCTGTACTAGGCCCTTGACAGAGCACAAAAGCCAAACTTTAAGGGTGGCTTTAATATAAAAGTAATTCTATTGTATCTAAATCATATTCTCTGAATTTCTTAGACCTTTTATTAAATAGATAAGCTATTGCTTAGTTCTTTCTTCCTAACTGTGATTTAATTCTCTGTTTACATTATTAAATTTAGGAAAAGGTTTAAGACAGAGGATTATATTATCAGCTAAGAGGTTATAAACCTTTAAGAAACAAAGCTGCGCATGAAAGGGGTCTGTGATGGTTAATTTTATGTGTTAACTTGGTTGGGCAAAGGTACCCAAATATTTGGTCAAACATTATTTTAGCTGTTTCTGTGAAGTATGTTTGAGATAAGATTAACATTTAAATCAGGAGACTCTGAGTAAAGCAGATTACCCTCCATAATATGGTGGGCCTATTCCAATCTGACCTCCCCTGAGCAAGAAGGAATTCTGTCATCAGACTGTTTTTGGATTCAAACTGCAACTCTTCTCCAAATTGCCGGCCTGCCAAGCTTGCCCCATCAGGTTCTGGATTTTCAAGCCTCCATAATCATGTGAGCTAACTCCTTAAAGTCTCTCTCTCCCTCTCTCATATTATGCACACACACACACACACACACACACACACACACACACACACACACACGGTGGCAAAAAAAATGTATACACATTTTAAGAAAGGAAAAAAACTGTATTAAAACTGTAATTATACCAATAACAAAAGATGAATACAAGCCATGTGTATACATTTTTTTTGGCACCTCCGGTATATATATCCTGTTGGTTGTTCCTCTGGGGAACCCTGACTAGCACAGGTTCACAAACAAAACTGTTTCTAAGTTCAAGAGTTATCTGTGCATTAAAATCACTCAGGAACCCTTATGTGTTAATTATCATTTCTTTCCTATCAATAAAATGTTAAGTGTTTGCAAAGTTGAAACAACAAACTAAAATCTGGGATACAGTGCCATTAATGACCCTTGGGAGTAGAGAGACTTGCTTTACCACAGAGTAAGACTATCACACACTAACCATATTCTAGAGTTGTAAACTTTTTTCTTTTTTCTGGCCCAAGGAAGCCTTTGTTCAAGAAAAACCACTCTTAGACTCCCCAAATGTTAAAGTGATAAAAAAAGAGGTGATTTGATATAAACAAGGATAGAACACTCCTCCAGCCCTCATAAAAAACAAGTCCTTGAGGGATGCTTAAGTACCATGAGGTGTTACAGAACAAAGTCTGGAAACTTGTCGAACTTCGTGTCCCCAATAAACCCTGTACTGCCACCACCACCACCATCCTGGGCATTTTACAGAAACAATAGAGATTAAATGATTTGCCCAAGGCTGCAAAATTAGTTAGCCAAACTGAGGCCTTTTAACTTTGTCCTTTATTTTGGCTATACATGCAAATTTTAAAAAAGTTAAAAGCTATGTTTTTAAATGAGCAACAGTACCTGCACCATGTGCCAGGTTAGCAGAAGAAAACAACCCCCTGGTACCCAGAACCGTGTAGCAGTGTTCACACTGTCTGGAATTGCTCCTGAGGACATCATCACCCCTTGGGAGGAAGGCAGCTGAGTCTTTATTTTGCCTGTAACTGGCTCTATGCTAATAATATAAGGAGATTCTGTCCAACACTAATAGCGCAGCAAATTACGGCACAAAAATATAAATTAAATTGTAATTATTTATTTCTGAATAATAGATCTTTGGTAAAAGCTGCCCTTCAAATAGAGCACAAAATATTTATATGCAACTTTCCTAACAATCACATTTTTACTTTGAAACAGAAACACAGGCAATTGAATGAAATGAATGGACAAACAGTATTACATTTTCCATGTGAGCAGAAAACATTAAATGACTTGTTCAAGGTCACACAGAAAACCAGAGTGCCAAGACATCATCTAAGGCTCTAACTCTAGTCTATTAGAATTTGAACTCTAAAAGGGCAGACACTTTCTCTTTTGTGTTCACTACTGCCAGCACCTAGTGCGGCACCATGCACACCCCTGGGACTGGTGCCAGGATCAGTGCGCATGCTCTGACCAGGAGTTAGGAGGGCCAGCTGTACTGATGGAGAGGCTAAGTGACCGAGAAATGGACAGTAGCTCCTTTCGTATCACTAACAAAGCTAATCTGCAATGAAGAACTGAGAATGAGTTACAGCAAACTGCTCAACCATGGATTACAGGTCAGTATCGTGGACTTGTCAATCTTTTAGATGACTATTTCCAATTTAATCTCCTTCCCACCACTTGTGAAGAATCATAGCAGTTAGCATGCCCTAGTCCTGTTTCTATCATTGACTTTTACATTCCTATCACAAATCCTGAGTAAGTCCTTATAGAAGAACGCGGCGCCTCTTGCCACCAGGGATCAAAATCAAACAAACCTCTGTCAGTTGTTTCAGTTGGCCTTTGTTTTCACTCAATTCTTCTGATAGGTTATTTTTTTTCACTTGTAGTTCAGAGATTTCCTTTCTTAATGGATCCACTAGTTCATAGAACCGAACCTTTAAAAAAATTGAAGTAATAAATAATCTTAAAACCCAAATTACAATTAAAATTTGCTAATTTACAGTACTCTCAGTTATCAGTGATAAAAGGAAAGTTTAAGATAATAAAAGTTTTAAGGAGTTTAAGATTGTATGCCTGTACAATAGTTTTATTTGTACAAACCTACAATAAAACAAGACAGTCGTTAATTTATCTGACCACTAATATTTTAAGTCTTAATAATGTTTAATTCAGTTCCCGCAAGGCCCAGATTACCTATAACTTCCTACCCCTGACGCAGTCTTGCTTTCGTTTGTCAATCTTCCATGTAATACTTACTCGTCACATCCTACCAGTGCTCACTCTACATTGCTTGTTATTTCCTAAACACTTCACGTGTTCGAGAGTTTTGCTTTTGCTGTTTCCTCTGATGGAAAAGCTCTTCCCACATATAAATGTGTGGCTCACGCTCTCACTCCCTTCAGGTCTCTGATCAAATGTCACCCTATCAGTAACGCCCTGTCTAACTCTCCCTACATGATTTAAAATGGCAGCAGACTCTATTCTTAACGCTTGCTCTTTTCTCCATAGCATTTATGACAAACAATCTACATATTTTACTTTTTATTGTCTGTGTTGCTCCACTAGCATGTAAGGGAGACCCACGAGGGCAGGCATTTTTGTCTGCTGTGCACAGAGCCCTGTCTTCAACACCTGAATACAGGATAAGCCTATATCCAAGGCTCTTGGTGAAGCTCTGTGGACTGCTGCCCCTGCACTGTAGGGGACACTCAGAGTGAACCAGGAGGTATCTCTCATATCACGACTTCCATCCAGTTCAGACCTGTCTTCCCACTCATAATTCTCTTAGGGGAATGTGCCTGCCTTTACCTAGTAAAGTGTTCCATCTGACACATTCCCATAGAACTAAGAAGTCACGAATAAATTAGGAGAGGGCCTTTAAGGACTATTTATTGTGTAGGTATACCATCTGAAACGCCTTAATATATTGCTTTGTTGCAAAAGTACCACATTTGTTACGAAGTTCTAAGGTTAGTCCTCAACAAAACAAATCTGCATATAAATAATTAATAGGATAACACTGCCTGTGAAAACAGATGATATGACAAGGAATACTAACAAACCAGGGAGCAAAAATATGCATAACTGACACTAATGAGATACTTTATATCTACTACTAATGAAGACTCAAGGACAGCACTTCATTTGTTTTGGACAGTGCATGTTGGGCAGAAAAATTATATTTAAGCTGTTTAAATAAGAAGCTGGACAAAAAAGTAACACTGAATTTTATAGGAAATCATTAATCTGGAAACCTTATCCAACTAAGAACCAAGAATAGTAATCACCATTCCAGCAAAATAGTAGGTAATATTTATTATGTTTACTATGTTCTAAGAACTGAGCTAAGCATTTTACATAATCACAGTTAATCTTCATAATTACCTCAACAGAAAAGCACTATTATTAAACCTTTCATAGATGAAAAAATTCAAACCTCTTAAGGAGGTGACATCTATATATCATAAACTAACAGTTCTCAGTGTGTGGTTTGGGGATCCTTGGCTCCCAAACCACCACTCTGAGGCTTTTTCAAGGAATTCATAATATCAAAACTCTTTTCCTCGTCATTTGTCACCTGTTTTGCTCTCATTCTCTTATGCCTGTTTCCCAGTAGCTTCATGATGTATGATATCATTGTTCTTAAGGCTGCAGGAAAATGTGCTTAAGTATTCTTGTGTTTTAAAAATGTCTCAGTTTTAATCTCTAATATGGTAAATATTAATAGATATAGCCCATTTAACAAAAGCTCTTTGGGTCCTCAGTAATTTTTGGAGTGGAAAGGGATGCTGACACCAAAAAATCTGAGATTACTGCCATTGATGAATCCTGTGTGTAGTTTGTGTCACCAACACTGCAGTCAACATTCTGAACTCGATGCACAAAGATCTCCCTCATTTGACCCCCCCCCTTATAATCACACCAACACCCCTCTCCTCTACTATCCCTAACCCCCAGCAACCACTTATCTGTTGTTTATCTCTACAATTTTTCATGTTAACAATGTTATAAGCCACCAGTTCATAATAAAATAATTCATTTCTATAGACTATGCAGCCATTAACTTTACAGTGCTATTGCTTCACTCTGGAGGTCAACGGTCAAGACCCTTTAAAATCTGGTGATCTGAACACCATTCACCATTTCAGATCAGGGCCATAAAATAACTGGGTACTTCAGAAGTTATGGCTACAACATAAATAGCAAATTTTAGTCTTAAAATACAGGTAGTTTTTTAAAAATGACATAAGACACTTACAGATACATATTCAGGAATAGAAAGCTGATCTTCAGGAAAACCTTTCAGTTTCATGTATTGCTCTTCTGTCAACTCAAAGTCACGCAGGTTTCGACGAATATCTCCAGCTTTCTCTCTTAGCTGACGATTTGTCTCTTCTAGTTGTTTCTGTCTCAATAAAATAGTTTCCATTTCTTGTTTCATTAGTTCTTGATATTTTCTATGTTAGGAGAGAATTTGTGGCAAGCTTAAAAAAATTCTCAAGATTTAATTTTCTCAAAGTCACCTTTTTATAGTAACATAAAATTAGAAAATGAGAAAAAAAATTAGACAATGAGAGGCTCAAATACTATATTTGGCTCTAGCTAAATGCTTATTTACTTAAGCAGTTGGACATGAAATGACAATTCTACACTAATCACTAAATGTGCAGCCACATAAATGATTATTTTAATTAAAGTTAATAGAGAATATTCTTAAGGAATAATTTCAAAAATTCAAATTACATAATTATATATTTCTTCTGCCTATGGTTTCAGTCTTATACACATCTGTTTTGGACCCTAACTATTAAATTAATATTGAACCACCAGAAGGTGTTCATTCAAACAACGCAGTAATGAAAACAGTAATCTGCACATAATCATCATTCTCAAAGAATACATGCAGTAGACACTGTTATTGTCAGTTGCTACCCAAAGATTTTGAGTAGGAAGGAACCATCTGATTTTTCCCCTCCCTGATATATCTCTCCCGTTAACATCAAACACGCAGTTATTTCTTCTATCTCAAAACAAATGAACAAACAAAACACACAACTTTTGACCCCATTTCACTTCCCCCATTGAGCAAAACTTCTCAAAAGCTGTCTATACTCACTGTCTCCAATGGTTTTCCTCTTAAACTCATGCTAATCAGGTTTTCACCTCCCCGCCCCACACTGAAATCTCAAGGTCACCAATGACATCCATATTGCTATTAATACATTCTCAGTTCTTTTCATCCTTAACCTAATAACACTTGACACAAATGATCTCTCCTTCCTCATACACGACTTCGTCTGGCTTCCGAGAAACCGTGCTCTCCGTTTTCTATTTTACTGATGCTGCTTTTTCAGTCTTCTTTTCTGGCTTGCCTTAATGCTACCGTACCTGGTCCTCTCCTGTCTATATTCAGTCCCTTAGGGAATTCATCCAGTCTCATGACTTAAATACAGTCTATATCCAAATGACTCCTAGGTTTCTATCTCTAGACCAGACTTTTCATGTACTTCCACAGGGATTTCTAAGCAGACAACTCTAACTTAGCATGTCCAAAATGAACTCCTGCTCTTTACTGCAAACCTATTTCACTGGTTTTTCTCTTAGTTGACAGCAACTCCCTCCTTTAATTTATTCAGGTCACAGATGTTGGCATGATCCTTGGCTCCTCTTCATCTCTTAAACGCCACATCTAATCCATGAGGACATCCTACCAGTTTTACCTTCAATATAATCAGAATCCAACTACTTTTTACCCCATCAGCTATGATGAGGATTATCACAATAGCCTCCTAACTGGCCTCAGCATCATTCCATATGATAAATGTCTAAAGAATGAGAACAGAAACCCTGTTATTGAATGTGGTGGTTCTCAGTGTTGTCCCCGAACCAGCAGCAGCACCAGCAGCACCTGGGAACTAGGCACAATTGCAAATTCTCAGAACCCCAACCCAAGCCAGAACCTGAGGGTGGGACCCAAAAATCTTTTCTAACAAGCCTTCCACGTGGTTCTGATGCATGCTGAAGTTTTGAGAGCCCACTGATCTAATGTGATAGTGGCTGATAATTTGGTCAGATAATTTTTTAAAATTCAGTTAAATAGTGAAATCTTATCAAGGGAAAAGATGCCTTCCATTGCATATTTACCTCTAATGAAAATACAGAAACAAACACTCATCTGCCAAATTTTTTACATAGGGTCTAGATTTGTTTAAATATGGAGGTATTTTTTTTTGGTGTGTATAAATCATTGTTCATAATTTCCAAGTTCAATTTCTTTACAATGGCAGACCTTAAAACAGGCTTGAGAAGAAATCTAAGAGGATGCTTTTTATGGATATATTTAACTTTTGCCCCCAGTCTCTAAATCTGTCTTGCCTACATTTAATTGGATGGCTTTTAGTCACTCCTTTTTATTGAATCTTTTCAAAGAATTCATTATAATTTTTATAAAAATGATAAACCTTTTTGTACTAATTTGTTTATATAATTTTAATTAAGTTATTTAAGTATAAGAAGTACAACTGGAATAGGCATATTTGAGAGTAAACACATCGGACTCTTGATTAGCACACAACTGAGCTGGAGACACCAGGCGGGCAAATACATATAAGGAACTTTATGCCTGGAGTGTTCAACAGGCCATGAATCAATCAGTATATTTTGCCGAGCAAATAAAAAACGGTTAATCCAGGCAGTAGGTTAAGTGGTGGTCACTTTATTTTTTTTCTTTTCTTTTTTTTTTTTAAGCTGAGCCATTCTGCCACCTGTTGGCAGTTCAGCGGCAGCTCAGCTCGGGCTGGGCATCGAACTGCTGTTGCTCAGAGCTCGCACTCTTGAGCAAGCTCTTAACCAACTGAGCCACTCGGCCGGCCCAGAAAATGTTCAATTTTTCTTTTTTTTTAATTTTTATAGTTGTAAACTAAGTGATTAACATTATTCACATAAACGTACTATTGGGAATAGGAGTTTTTATTATTATTATTATTAATTTTTTTTTTTTAGCTAAGCCATCCTTACACCTGTTGGCAGCTCAGTGGCAGCTCAGCTCGGGTCGGGCATCGAACCGCTGTTGCTCAGAGCTCACTCTTGAGCGAGCTCTTAACCAACTGAGCCACTCGGCCGGCCCAGTGGTGCTCAATTTAAAGAGTTCCCATTGTCTTACACTGGCAATGTTTGTTGAATGACTGTTGAATTTTGACTTTTTATATTTTGTGTACTGTATCAAAATAAGCTACTTTTCTGTCGGTCTGGATGTAAAAATTGTTACCATCTTTGGTTTAAAATTTCTCGATTTTAGCTTATACTCACATGAGAGAACAGGTAACGATACTGCTTTTACTGTTAAATAAGTATTGTTGCTTTTTGAAAACGTACCTGGCATCCTTCTGCTGGAAAGTCAATTGGCTGTCTAATCGCAGTGTTAGCAGCTGCTTCTGGTGAAGAGCATCATTAAGTTTCTCCTCTAACTCTTCAATCTTAATAAAGAGGAAAAGGCAAATTATCTGGTCCATTTTCAAATTTATTATTAAAAAGCACTTAAAAGAAATAGGTTAAAAATGGATAAAGTTTTTTTTGCAATGGTTGTGTCCACAAAGTACAAAGTCTGTTCATAAAATGGTTTTTAAACTGTGGTTTGAAGCTCTGCCTCATAAATGCTTTTTTGCCAGGCTGTTATTCAGATTATTTTTTTCCCTTAACCCACACTCACTGAGAAGCTCACTGACAACAGGGGTTTTATGTTGGTGTTTCACTCAGGAATTATTTCTAGACCAGACCCTGCATTTGCGCTTTGGATCCATGTATCTGACTACTATACAGTTGACTACTATAAATATCAATACATAAAATTAAACTAGTCATCAGCCTTACCAAATATCATACCTGATATCATACCCTTGCATCTCCTTAGTCTCCAAAGCAAAGCAAATTGTTATGTTTGATATGTCCAGTTCTCTTTCAATGCTTACTCTGATGAAACACCATTTTTTTTTTTTTTTTAGTTTACTTCATAAATAGCTGTCAAAAGTGTACCATCCTCTTTAGTACCACTGGCAAGTCTTCAGTCAGACCCTTTATTTATTTATTTATTTATTTATTCTTACACCTTGTCACACCACTGATTGAAGCAAACAACACAACATGCTGTCACTTCACCCAAAAGCGGTGTTTTTACTTTGCCCTTTATTGAAGGCTCAGTGGGTCATTAGCAAAAGGCCCAATGAGTGCTTTTAAAAGGGACAAACCCTTATTATAATAAGCACCTGGATTATTATAATGGTTTCCTCCATGGTTCCCAACTCCAGTTTGTCAAGCTCCAAACCCTGCTTCATTTTATTATTTTTTTAAAGGTTTTATTGGGGAATTGGGGGAGGGGAACAATGTTGGGGAATCAGGGAAAGGGAACAGACAAATTGCTGTCCTTTTCTTCTTCAGTCTAGTTGAGGAGGACATCGCTTCACTGGCCCATGTTGGTATTATGATCATTGCGCTCTTCCCAGCTGAGTCAGTGGATTGCCAGCCATTGGACAGTTGCTCACGGCGGCTGCCGGCCACTCACACTGGCTGCTGGCCATTCACAGTAGCTCAAAGCAGCCCCACTGCAGCCTATGCCGTCGCCAGCCACTGACAGCAGCCTAGCTCCAAGCAGAGCTGCTGTTCACCATCTTAGCTGTAGAGGGTGCAGCGTCACTGGCCCTCATGCGGGATCTGAACCAGGGACCCTGCTGCTCAGAGCTCCCATTCCCAAGCCAACTGTTAACCAACTGAGCCGCTTGGCTGGCCCCTCATTTTACTTTTTAAAAATGCTATTATGCCTGAAACGAATATATATACATACACACACACACATACACACACACACATGTACGTGTATACGTATGTATATTGGGTTGTCGGAAAAGTCATGATGCATGCATGTTTGCAACAGATGGCACTAGTTCATTTTTGGAAGTACTAGAGTCATTTGCATCTATGTTACTGCTATGTCATTTGACAGCTGACAGTTCTGGCTTCATTCTAAAAAAAAAATTGTGCGATTTGGTTGAGTTTTGGAGATTTTACAACAACTTGAAGATGGAAGACCAAACTGTGCATTTTTGCCATATTTTGCTGTCTCACTTCCATAAAGGGAAAAACGTGCGTCAAGCTTGTGAAAAGTCGCATCAAGTTTACAGTAACAATGCTCTACAAGAACGTCAGTGCGAATGATGGTTCATGAAATTCCATGCTGGTGATTTTGATCTCAATGACACTCCTGGGTCATGGAGGCCCACTGATGTTGATGACGACAAAATAAAGGCACTGATCGAGCCAAACCCATGTTACACCACACAAGATATTGCAGAAACATTGAGCATCCATCATTCAAACATTCACGACCACCTGAAGAAACTGGGATACGTAAGCAAGCTCAGTATTTGGGTTTTGCATTAACTCAAAAAAGTTCATTTGACGGCGCATATAAACATCTGCAATATGTTCATTAAACGTGAGGAAAATGATCCTTTTTTGAAGCGACTGATAACTGGTGATGAGAAGTGGATAGTTTACAACAATGTGGTGCGTAAATAGTCTTGGTCCCGACGTGATGATTTGCCTCAAATGATACTGAAAGCAGACATTCATCAGAGGAAGGTTATGCTCTCAGTGTGCTGGGATTTTTTTTTTTTTAAAGATTTTTTATTGGGGAACTGGGGGATGGGAACAGCGGTGGGGAATTGGGGGAAGGGGAACAGACAAGTTGCTGTCATTTTGTTCTTCAGTCTAATTGTGGAGGACGTTGCTTCACTGGCCCAAGTTGTCACCATCATTGCACTCTTCCCGGGTGAGGCAGATCAGTCGCTGGCTTCTGGGCGGCCACTCACAGCGGCTGCTGACCGCTCACGCTGGCTGCTGGCTACACACACTGCAGCAAGGGCTGCAGGCTAAGCCGTCGCGGGTCACTCACGGCAGCCCAACTCCAGGTTGAGCTGTTGTTCATCATCTTAGCTGTAGAGGGCAGTGTCACTGGCCCTCATATGTGGGATCCGAACCGAGGCCCTCTGGCGTCCCAAGCCAGCTCTTAACCAACGCACCACTCGGCCAGCCCAGTGTGCTGGGATTTTAAAGGTGTCATGTTTTCCCAGCTCCTACCAAGGAACCAAACAATCAATTCAAATGTGTATTGTCGGCAATTGAGACAGTTTGAACGAATCCATCATCCAGAAACGTCCAGAGCTTGTTATTGTAAAAGAGCTGTGTTCCATCACGACAACATGAGACCACACACAAGTTTGATCACCCGTCAAAAATTATTGGGAGCTTGGATGGGATGTGTTGCCACACCCACCATACTCGCCTGACTTTGTGCTGTCAGACTTCCACTTGTTTCGCTCTCTTAAAAACTCCTTGCGTGGTATAACATTCAATTCAGATGACACTGTAAATCAGCACCTTGTTCAGTTTTTAGCAAATAAAGGCAGGTCCTTCTATGAACGAGGAATTATGAAGCTCACTGAAAGATGGCAAAAGGTTATCGAACAAAACAGGCAATATATCATTGACTGATCTTTGTTCTTTATATAAATAAACGACCTTTGAAAAACATAAACAAAATACGTCATGACTTTTCCAACAACCCAATACGTATATATGTATACACACACACACACACGCACACTAAAACAAAAAAAATCTGTTTCCCCAGTTCTAAATCCTTCAATGGATCCTGTCTTCACAATAAATTCCAAACTTCATGGCATAATATACTATTCCTTCTTTATCTGACCCTTGCCATCCACTTTTCTTATTACTAGCTTAAAAGGCAACACTGTCAGCCAAAACAAGTGTTTGCCATTCCCCAAATAGCTGTGCTCTTTCTTAAGCCTCTAGGAACTTGGATTTTGCTCTAAGTCTATTTAGAAAATTCTTTACTCTATCCAACCACCCTTGCAATTCTTGTTCATCTTTTAAAGTAGATTAATTTAACAGCCAATCCTTAGTATCTTGCATCACCAAATTTCTCCTCTACTGGATTATTCTTGTCATTAACCAAACGTGTTCTATCTCCCACTAAAAAAACAACAAACGACACTCCCTTGACCACGTCACTTCCTCTGCTGTTAGTACCATTTCTCTGCTCACCATCAGAGCAAAACTTGAATATGGTTGTCCCACATAATTCCAGTAAAATTATTCTTGTCAAAGTTATGAATCACCTCCATAATGCTCCATCCAATAGTTATCTCTGCATACTTATCTACACAACAGCATAATTTAACAGAGCTGAAAGTTCCAACCTCTTTTGGCTTCCATGATACTCCTCTTTGGTTTTCCTCCTAACTCAATGTACGCGGCTCAAGCTTCTCAGGCTCCTTGGCTGTATTTGAGGCCCTCTGCTCTCCCTAGGTAATGTCATCCAATTTTATGAGTTTAAGTGCCATCTATATGTTGATGCACGTACTATACGAGCGCACACACACAATCTAGCCATGGCCTCTCCCCTAAACTCCAACAATTCCATTTAAGAGTCTGACAGGAATCAGAAGTTTAACATGTTCAATACACAACTTATATTTTACCTCCCAGGTCAGTTTTCTCCCAGCCTTTGATACACCAATAAATGGCTCCAGTTAATGAAGCCAAAAATGTAGGAGTCTTACTAAGGCAACAGCCTGAAATCTGTCTCCTGCTTCTACCTTATCTGCTCTTAGTTTATTACTTCAGTGCTATTTTGAATACAAAAATCAGGAAATGTAACTCCCAACTGCCTAAAACCTGCCAATGGCTTCTCTGACTACATAATCTAAAGCAAGGGTTAAACAATGGTCATGTCCCAAATCCAGCCCATGTCCTGTTTCTGTACAGCCCACAAGCTAAGAATGTGTTTTAAGTTTATAAAGGGTTATTAAAAAATATATATATATGATAGACCATATGTGTCCTGCAAAGCATTAAATATTTACTTTTTGGCCATTTATAGAAAAAATTTGCTGACTCCGTATCTTAAGTAGCCACTGCTAAGTGAGACTATGTCACATGACCTCAAAGATACCTCATTATATGTTTTTTGATCAAGGCTGCCACTTGAATGTCATCTCCACAAACAAGGGACTGTCATATTCATTGCTATATTCCCAGCAACATGTCTCAATAAATGTCTCAAATCAATAAATGATAACCATATTTCTCATAATTACTAGTTTGCAAATCAAGAATACTCTTACCCCCAAGGATTGAAACTTCTCTTTTCAGGGTTACATCTTTTACAATTTCAACTGACTTCTAAATTAAGTCCCTTAACTCTAAGAGAATCAGGCTGGGAAGATGCCCTCCTTCATTTCCCAAGCAATATGGAACCCACAGGTCTCTAAAGAAGATAAAGAGTTTTTGGCATTTAAAAACTGGTGAGGGGCCGGCCGAGTGGCTCAGTTGGTTAAAAGTGCGAGCTCTGAGCAACAGGGTCACTGGTTCGATTCCCACAAGGGCCAGTGAACTGCTGAGCTGCCAACAGGTGGCAGGATGGCTCAGCTGGTGAGAGCACGTGCTCCTAACAACAAGGTTGCTGGTTCAACTCCGGCATGGGATGGTGGATGCATCCACTGGCAACTAAGATTGAACACGGCACCTTGAGCTGAGCAGCTGTGAGCTGCCGATGGGCGGCTGCATGGTGACTGGACTTGGAGCTGAGCTAGCTGTGCCCTCCACAACTAGGACTGAAGGAAAACAACTTGGCTGTTCCTCTTCCCCAATTCACCAACACTGTTCCCCTTCCCCAATTCCCCAATAAAAATCTTAAAAAAAAATATGTATATTAAAAATTAAAAAACTAATAAGATTAAAGAGGACAGGATTAAAGAAGTAGAGTAAGGAAGGGGATTTAGACAGTAGTAGATGGGTTAAAGTGGAAAGCTAACAATTCTCTAGTATCAGGAAGTTTGGCTTAAGCAGTTTATACTTCTTAGCTTTAGCAAGCAGCTGAATGGGAAGTGGCAGTTTTTAACGTTAGCGATGTTTTTTAAGTTTTCTTGAATGTATTTGTTCCTGCTTTTGGACATGGAATGAAATCAACATGGGTCAAAACATTCATAGCAATCAACTATAGTAAACTGTAACTTTAGTAATAAACCATAATGAACATAAATACTGTATTGCTGCAATACTGGTATAGACAGATGTTAGAGATTCACATATTACCTAACTTAAAAAGGCCCCGATGAGCAGGAAAACACTGTTACTTGTCTGCCCAAACTCAAGTCTTCCCTTCTTTATAATTATAACATAACTCTGATTTTTATTAGTGATAACAATATGTCCAGCTAAAAACTTAAGTTTCCCAGCTTCCCAAAGCACCAATATCTCAGAGAGTTATGAGGCTAAATTTAAAGAACGTGTGAAAAGCTTATAGAACAGTGACTGGCACAGATTAAGCATTCAATAAATGTTAGCTATTAATATTAAAATAAAATTGCCTAAGCTATTTCTTTACTTCATCAGGACCTTGGGGTTTAGGACACTACTTTCCTAGAGGCATGGGCAAGATATTGAAGTACATTAGTATACATAGGCAAGGGCTAAAATTGTAGACTGACTTAGCAAGAGAGAAGGTGTAACTGAAAAAACGAAATGGGAGGATGGAATAGGAAGAGCAAAGGTGGAGGTTTTGCTATGGAAAGAAAAGATTTTCTCAGGACAGGGATAGTAAGAAGAGTTAAGTGTCTCTTTTCTTTCTGAAATCACTATAAATTTCTTATAGCTAGTGACAAGTTCACCAGGTCTTACATAAAATACTCTGTAACTGCAAATAACCACAAAGCAGAAAAACAAGGACTAGGACATTCCTTACTTGACAAACACTTGTTAAAGATTATGGTAACAGAATTTATACTTGGTACTATGACACAGTAATGATTAAATTGAAAGACAAATATAAACACTATCAAATAGAAGGATTCCAAAGAAACAAAATCTCTAAGGCAGAGGACTATACAGATTCAATAATATAATTAAATTATGATCTTGATTCTCCCAATCAAACTAGTCACATCAGGGTTAGTTCTCAGTGAAACAGAAAACAACTTGGCTAGGAAAAAAAAAAAAAAAACACCTAAGAAAATACACCACACACATGCTAGATTTAAAAAATTGAGCCTACAGAAGCAATTCATCCCTTCCCACCTTTAAGTCACCCCTTCTTTTGGTACTTTTTGATACACAGAAATATTATTCACACCCCCTTCTAAAAGCAGCTTTTTAAAACTATGCAAGAAAATACAATTATTTTCTTGAAATGATAAATGTATCACTTCAAGTTCAAATTACACACATAAAAATTTAATTCTTGGGCCCGGCCGAGTGGCTCAGTTGGTTAAAAGTTGGCTTGAGAGTGCGAGCTCTGAGCAGCACGGCCACCAGTTCTGTTCCCACATGGGCCAGTGATGCTGCACCCTCTACAGGTAAAGTGGTGAACAACAGCTCGACCTGGAGCTGGGCTGCCCATGAGTCGCCAGCGACGGCATAGACTGCAGTGGGCTGCTGTGAGCGGCCGGCAGCTGGCATGAGCAGCTGGCAGCCATCGAGAGCTGCCCTGAGCCGCTGTGAGCAGCCGTCCAATGGCCGGCAACAACTGCCTCAGCTAGGAAGGGCGCAATGATCATACTAACATGGGCCAGTGAAGCAACGTCCTCCACAACTACACTGAAGAACCAAAAGGACAGCAACTTGTCTGTTCCCCTCTCCCAATTACCCAGTAAAAAAAAAAAAAAAATTAATTCTTATTTATCTGTGGTTTGAAGACAATAAAGCACATAGATAACAAAATTTACAACTGATCTTACCTTTGTAAGATAGTCTACTTTCAAGTTGTCGATCATCATATTTTTCTGGGATAGCTCTATTTTCAGTAACTGAAGATTATGAAGTAATTCTTTCCGTTCGATTAGCTGCCTGGTGATTTTGGTTTTACCATCTTGCTCTTCTGATGAGGAAATGTCATCTGTAGGAACTGTTGTTTCTAAACTAATGTCTTCAGATTCTAGAGAGCTAGAGACGTTTATTGTTTTTGATGCCTTGGCAATTTTTCGAGACATTGTTATTATGGGTCAGTTTTCTTCTCCAATTCTATTTCAATTTTCTGTAGGTTAAAAAAATATTAATTTAAGTGCACTCAAACATTCTCTGTGGAAAGCATAAGGTATATTAACGAGGTGCTAAGGATCCCCTAAATCAGCGGTTCTCAACCTGTGGGTTGCTACCCCTTTGGGGGTCGAACGACCCTTTCACAGGGGTCGCCTAAGACTATCGGAAAACAAAAAGATATTTACATTACGATTCATAACAGTAGCAAAATTACAGTTACAGAGTAGCAACGAAAATAATTTTATGGTTGGGGGTCACCACAACATGAGGAACTGTATTAAGGGGTCACGGCATTAGGAAGGTTGAGAACCGCTGCCCTAAATAATTATGCAATCTGGAGGACCCCATATCTAGGACAATTACTAATTAGTCAATTACTGCTCAGATCAAACATATTAAATCAAACTATGATGAACTCGAGCCCTTGGATGAAACTCTACTATGAACTCAGGCCCTTGGATGAATAAGAAACCCAGTTCCTGGAGGCAGGAATCTTAGTTGGAGGAAACAAAAAAATGCATGAGACAAAGGATAAAGCTCTAAATCAGTAGTACCCAGGAATGCTACTAATACAAGCCACACATGTTCTAGATTAGAAAAATCACTTCTGAGTTGGTCAGGGGAAGGCTATACTGAGATAGAACTTATTGGATTGTCAGAAAAGTCATGACGCATTTTTGCAACAAAAAACAGAAAAAAAATACGTCATGACAACCCAATAGAATCTTGAAGGATTTGGAGAGGTGAAGTAAAAAGGGAAATACGTGCAAGTGTTAAGGTTGGTACAGAGGTGGCAAAAGTGCAAAACCACAGAAGAAGATAGTGGTTGTCAGGCTGGGGCCAAGTCTTGGTGTATCAGAGCAGTGACTTCCCTCACCCCCAAACAGACACACATACAACCTTAATAAGACTGTGGAGGGCCTTGAAAGTCAACACGTTTTCGAAATTTACAGGCAATGAGGCATCACTGAAGATTTTTTAAAAAGGGAAACAGTGACATAAAAACTTTTTATAGGTTTGCAGATAGCAGAATGAAAACAAGAGCGTAGAAGAGAAAAAAGTTCAAGAATTCTAAATGAAACCACTTCTCCTTTCACGAGAATTTTAGCAACTCCTGTGTTTTAATACCACACGATATAATAATGATTTACGGTATTGCATAAATCAGGTTTTCTAAACTAAACAATGGGTGTGAAGGGGGAAACGTAAGAACTTTAGTTGGATCGGCATCCCTCCTTTTTAAAGAGAAAAGGGTAAAGGAAGGAGAAATCAAAGACAGGCAACATCACCTGGATCACAAAGGATATGGGACTGCCTACACGGGCGAGGTGAAGAATTAAAATCCAAGCTTGGCAGCATGGGAGAATTGCTCGCCCCCCGCGGGATAGGAAGGCATAGCCGAGCGCTACCTCGAAAGCTTCAATTACCCCACGTCGAAGGGTGGGCTACCGCCACTGTCACCACTTCTGCCACTTGAAGGAGCGGAAGGCGTCTTCAGACAGCAGCTCCGGTTGCAGCCCCTCCAAAAATAAAAAATGAAAAAATAAATCTCAGGCCGCAGACCGTTAGGACCCGTAACCAGGACAACAATTGCTACGCCCAGAGAAGGACGGTGGAAGCGGCAGCCTACAGACGCCCACGCCGCCGGAACTCAGCCCACCGCCGACCTGGCGCGGGAAGCAAGGCATGTCGGGAGCTGGAGTCCAGAGACAGGGCCCGCTCACTTCATGGGCGGAAATGCCTCCGGGCTCCGCCCATCCGCCAATCCTCGCAGCCCTCAAAGAGCCAACCAACGTCTGTCTCGACGTTTTCCCGCGCGAGGCGTTCACTAATATCCTTGGAGTGAGAAGGAGCGAACGTCGGGGTAAAATATAGTTGTGCGACAGAGCTCCGCTGGCTACTTCTCACCGGAAGAACGCTGTCGGAGTCGGGATCCCGCACCGCGAGGCAAGATGCTGAAGTCCAAGACTTTCTTAAAAAAGACGCGGGCGGGCGGCGTGATGAAGATCGTGCGTGAGCACTACCTGCGGGACGACATCGGCTGCGGCGCGCCCGGGTGCGCGGCGTGCGGCGCTGCGCACGAGGGGCCCGTCCTCGAGTCGCAGCCCCTGGATCCGGGGAGCAGCCTCTGCCCGCAGCCGCACTACTTGCTGCCTGATACCAACGTGCTGCTGCACCAGGTGAGTTGGCGAGCGGGCGAACCACGGGCAACGCGCCCTCACCAGGAAAAGAGGGTGTGACAGGTAGGGAAACTGAGGCCCAAGGAGGCGCATCTTGGGCAGCATCACGCACTTAGGGAGAAGCAAACCCCAGCGGGCTCATCTCCCCTGGCCCCCAGGTGGAAGTTCTTTTTTTTTTGTACGCATTGTTTTTGAGTTCTCAGAGCCTTAAGAATTTTAGACACGTTAATTTTCTAACTCCTGGTGTTTCTTTTGCCTTAGATTGTAAATGTTTGGAGGCCGGGGACTTGGGCTTCTGTGGCCTCCAGCCTGCGACCTCCAGGCAGCTTGTAAGTGCCTACTAACTAAAACTATGTGGGCCAACGTATTTCTTTTTTTATGAACTTAATTTTGCGAAGTTTTGGAGTTAATCTGTTTATATGTGCTTTTCTCCGCTAGACCTGAAGGGTTTTTCTATAGCAAAATAGCACCTTATCTTCATGTATATTCAGTGTTTTTTAAACCGACAGGGTTTATCTTCGATAGAAACAAACAATTTATAAGTGAACATAGAAAAAATTAATTTTTTTTCTTTCTTTTTTTCTTTTTAAGATTGATGTTCTTGAGGACCCTGCCATCAGGAATGTAATTGTGCTACAAACAGTTCTGCAAGAAGTGAGAAATCGGAGCGCACCGGTGTATAAACGAATCCGAGATGTGACTAATAACCTGGAGAAGCATTTCTATACGTTCACTAATGAGCACCATAGGTAGGGGGGAAATTACATTAATTATCAGAAAACCATAGAATGAGCTAAACTTGGGGGAGACCTTCTGTCACTGATTTGTGACGTCAGAAGATAACTGATAGGTTTCATACTTAGAGGTGTATTATTTGGTTCTTACACAGTTGTGCAGAAGAGGACACTAAGTAGATCTCATTAAGGTCACGTAGACATTGATTGGATCAAACCTAGAACCAAGGTCTCCTGACTCCTAGGCTACAGTAGGTACTTTTATTTCCCAAATGTTTTCATTTTGAATTGCTTTTTAGTATGAGTTGAGCAATAGATTCTCGACAGATGAGATACGCCTGGGTTCCTGGAATACCATATTATAGGAATAGCCAGCATAGATTAATAAAATGTGAGAGTTCAAGGGGGTTTAAAAATATAAAACAGGTTTATTCTTTATGGGCTTTTAAAAGTTAAACTAATATAACTGATGAGGAAGATAAAGTTAAAGAATAGAATTCTTTGTTACGTTTCAAATTCAAGATCTTTGAACATAATGTGTGGTCTTAGTAAATAGATATCGTGATTTCTTATGTTACATAAACCTCTGATGAGTCTTAGTATACTTTTATAGATTAGAGCAGGGCTTCGCAAACCTTGCCCTGCTGACATTTTGGAATGGATAATTCTTTGTTGTGGACAGGCTGTCTTATACATCATAGGATGTTTAGTTGTTTAGCAGCATCCTAGCTTCTACCCACTAGATGACAGTAGCAACCCTTCCCCCCATCCACAGAGTTGTAACAACCCAAAATGTTTCCAGACATTGTCAAGTGTTCCCAGGGGGGCAAAATCACCTCCCTTGAGAACCACTGGATTAAATGGTAGATCTGGTAATGAAATCCCTTTGGAATATGCAAATTAAAATTTAATTATTCAATTTTCTTTTCTTTTTTCTTGTATCCAAAACTTTAACAAAAAAAAATTGTTCTTGTAAAGAACATGAATAAAACTCTTGTCGACTTCTTATTGCTAGCTTCTTGAAATTTAGACGCAGAAACATCACTTGTTTCTCAGTGCAGAAAGACCAGGTTTTCGTGGATTATGATCATCAGATCACTAATCAGAGGTTATATTGTTAGCTTAAGTGCAGTGAATAGAGTTTAGCAATACTGGGATTGACAGGAAACATCTTAGATGTTAGACACTTGGGCAAATCTCATCTAAGATTCTGTTCCTCAAGTCATGCTAAAACCAATTTAAAAATGTATGACTGCTTTTGATTGGTAAGCCTAAAGCATTAGCAGGTGCATACAATGGTGAATAATAAAATGATTCTAAACACTTAATATAATAAGTCTAAAATTTAAAGTTGAATCTGTTGTCTTTAAACACTAGATGTTATTATACTGAGTTTTGTTATTGTACTTAAATTTGACTGGGAAAGTTTTAAAGAAATGACTATGCTGTATTTGGGAGTTCAGAGTAGGCTTAGGAGTAGTATCTATATCTGGTCTTTCAGTCTCTAGATATCCCCTGGCATTATTTTGTGTTTACCATGGATAATTTATATGCATTATGTATTTAATGACTAGAATCATATGATCATAAATCATCAGTAATACTATTTATAGCCTTTAGGAATTACTTTAATCTATAGTTCAGAAGATAACTCATTATTAGACCTGCAAAGGTTTATTATAGTTTTTTTTCCAACAAACCGTTACTTATGTGCCAACCGAAGTATAAATTTTGTTCTTGAATTTGTTCTTTGGTGACATAAAATTATTTTAGCTTTTTTATTGTTCCATTATTAACATGATTTTCTTTTTTTTTTCAAGCAAATGGTTGTCTTAAAACTATAAGAATCCTATTTATTTGCGCTCTAAGATATAAATCTGAATACACTCAAGAGATAAAGATACCATTGACTTGACCTTTAAGTTTAGTGGTTATTAAGCATTTATGTCCTAAGACTTTTTACATGTTCTTCTTTCTATTGATTTTTATTTATTTCTTTTTTTTTCTTTTTAATTTTTTTCTTTATATTTAGAGAAACTTATGTAGAACAAAAACAGGGAGAAAATTCTAATGACAGGAATGATAGAGCCATTAGAGTAGCAGCAAAATGGTACAATGAACATTTGAAGAAATTATCAGCAGAGAATCAGCTGCAAGTTATCTTCATAACAAATGACAGGAAAAACAAAGAGAAAGCCATAGAAGAAGGAATACCAGCTTTCACTTGTAAGTCTAAATATAGAAGCTGTTAGTTTATGTTTGCAAATGCGTGTAAAAATTATCAGGCCATGGTCAGAAGTTCACGTAACTATTTAATGTTTTCATAGTCCTATATTACTTCGTGTGATATTTTTGCATTTTTAAATTTCTCTGCATTTCTAAGGTCAGTGTCTTGTAGTGCCGAATGGCTAATTTCCCCATCACCATTTGGAATTGGCTTAGCAATTAAAGTTCACAAATACAAGATTGGACAATTAAGTTTGCAAACTCATCCTAGAAAAAGTGCTACATACCTCATTGCTGAATATCACTATAGTCACCTTTGAAGTACTCCCATTGGGAAGCTATGCACCGATGTCAGTGCCTAGTCTACCCTTCAAAGCAATTTTGGAACTCATTTTCTGAAATGGCCATCAGAGGTGTTGTCATATTACCCTTGATGTCCTGAATGTCATCAAAATGCCTTCCTTTCAATATTTCCTTTGTCTTGGGGTAAAGAAAGAAGTCATTGGAGGCCAGATCAGGTGAGTTGGGAAGGTGTTCCAATACAGGTATTTGTTTACTGGCTAAAAACTCCCTCACAGACAGTGCTGTGTGAGCTGGTGCATTGTCGTGATGCAAGAGCCATGAATTGTTGCTGAAAAGTTCAGGTCGTTTTCATCTAACTTTTTCATGCAGCCTTTTCAGCACTTCCAAATAGTAAACATGGTTAACATTTTGTCCAGTTCGTACAAATTCATAATGACTAATCCCTCTGATAGCAAAAAATGTTAGCAACATTGTTGCAACAAGTTTGCGAACTTAATTGTCATACCTCATATGTTTGATCCACTGTCTGCTTGGACATGACTACTTCAATGGATATTTTCTTTTCCAAAAAAAATTGACATATATCATCACAAACACAATTATTGATGTTCTTCCATATCTTAAAAAAAAAAAAAAAGAAAACTTGCATTTAACAAAAACAATAATACAACTTATTTTTCAGGTGAAGAATATGTTAAGAGCCTAACTGCTAACCCTGAACTCATAGATCGTCTTGCTTGTTTGTCTGAAGAAGGGGTATGTTTGAGTTTTATTTTGTTTCTTAAAAGTGAAAATATTAAAATAGCCACTTTGGGTTATCATATAAAAATTGGAATGTCGATGGATAAGCTGGAATTTGAATAAGAGTTGGGTTATAGACAATAAGAGTGGCTGTAATAGGCTTATCAAAATGCCATTCCTGAAAGACTTTCTAAAATAGCGCTCTGTCCCGATATATCCTCGCACCAAGTAGGGCCTGGCACTTCGTGGCATTATATGTTTTATGAATAAATAAAGGAATCCATGACTAGTTTGTGAATAGGAGTAGGCATTTGACAAATAAAGAAGTGACGGGCACTGCAGAGAGAGTTTACAGCTGTAGATTTAATCCTGAAGGAAGAGAAAGGAAGTCATAAGAGGTAGACAAGAAGGGGAGAGGCCAGATAATGAGGACCTAGAACTTATACAGTAAGTCACTCATTCTTTTATTTATTTTTTAAAGATTTTT